TAAAAAATATTAATAATGTTAATGAACAATATTCTGATTCAAATGAAATGCATGTTATAAATAAGATTTACAAATTGTTAAGTGGTTGTACTGATAATGTTTTAAATGATAATGAGAACTKTACTACAAAAGTCTGTACAAATAATTCATTCAAAGAAATTGATGACGATAATGTAATTTTAGTTCCTGGAGAAATTAATGAAGATAATGTAATTTTAGTTCCTGAAGAAATTAATAAAAGCTTTTGGGATAGTAGTGATGTAGTTGAAGATATGATATTAGAAAAGAAAACTAATCAAGAGGAGATGACTAAGAGCGTAGAAGAAACCCCAAATTTGTTCTTAAACATTATTAGTGAAAATCAGAATATCCAAGATGAAATGGAAATAGAGAGAACTTTAGAGACACCAAGAACTATAAATAAAAATGTATTTAAAATATCTCCTCTACAATCATGTCTTGTTTGGCCAGTTACTCCAGAAAGAAAGGGAAAACGTTCTACTGAAAGAATACCGTATGTTATATCATCAGAAAGTTGGCAGAATATACAACAGACTAAAGCAGAAAATAAAAAAAAGATTGAGATGGAAAAAGAAGACAGAAAAAAATATAGAATTGAAAATAGGTTGAAGAAGAGTAGTTTAACTGGAAAAACTCTTAAAAAACAACCAACTCGTGTCGAAAAGTTAAAGGTTGCGAGAAATATATTTCCTGAAAAAATCATTAAAAAAAAATACCAACTGAAACTATAACTAGTGGAGCATTAGTTGAACAAATTGATAGCCATAAAAATGTTGTGTTACTTAATGTTGATGATGATGAGAGTGTTAATGATGTAATAACACTTATGTTACAGTAGGACTATGTTTTAGCTGTGGAAAAAACTTAAGTGAAATATCAAAAGGTGTTGATTGTACTTTTTGTTCCCATATGTACCATTTGAAATGTTTAACCAAAGATGAATTCTGTGATTTAGCCATTTAGGTGTAGGAGAATCATTTCTATTTATTTGCAAACCATGCCAAAACAAACTTAAAGTAGTTTATAAGTATAAGGTTAGTAGGAAATAAGTTCTAATTTGTTTAAGTAATCTGGTCAACAAAGTAAATGGACGACTGATTGTTTTTATTACTAAAATGTATTTTTAAAGGTTGACTAAAGTTGTCTTAATTTTTTATTTTTTCTTTGGTGGTCTTGTACATATCAAAAGTTTTGAATGAAAAGGTAAAATATTTTTTTTTTAATTCAGTAATCTGGTCAATGTTAGTTGTAATGCTGATTGTTTTAATGATTTATAAGAATTTTTAATTTTTATAGACTAAATTGTTCTTATTTTTTAAATCATTCTATGAGTATTTAATAAAAAACCTAGCTGTGCGCAATGATAAATTTAATAAATGTATTGTATTTACAATTGGCGCTTGTTAACTGTTGTGTCATATTTTTAATTGTTTTTATAATTTATAAGTATTTTTAATTTTTAATGCTAAGGCCTTCTTCACGCGAGGCAATTCCTAGACGACGCGACGGATACTCGAGTATCTTGTAAATCACTTCCTATATTTAGTACTTGAAACTTTGAAAGACACAAACGACGCTACTCCCAAACGACGCGTATCCTACGCGTATTCTACCAGTCTCTCGCGACTTGCAAGGAAGGTCGCCCGTCGTCTGCGTCGCCTGCGTCTCCCGAATATTATATTATTATACAAATGTTTTCGAGTGTTAACCAGTTTTTGAATTAAACAACTATGGCTGAACACGCTTTCAATATAAAGTTTGTGGGCGAAGTTGAAAAAAGGCCAGAACTTTATAATTACACTTTGCCTCAATATTCCCGTAAAGATGTTGCGGAGAAGGGCTGGATGGAAGTCGGGAAGGAAATGGACTTGCCAGGTAAAAAAAAATGTTTAATTGAATGAAAATATAGTTAATAATGGTTATATAATTACATATATTATGTATATTATATTAATATTAATTATAATTTTTAATTATTATATAATACCTATACTCT